AATGTAAAAGAAACATCTGGCACCTTAAATTTCCTTTTATACAGAACATGCATCTATGGAGGTTGGCAACTATGACCCTTTTTATTACAGTAAACATATTTTGATTTACTTTGAAACTAGCTTATCATTTATAAGATTTAATTTTGATATCTTTATTTTATCTTGCATTTTTTTTTATAAAACTGATTTTTATACAAAACTAAATGTACCATTTATTGCATACCTGTCGAAGGCACTTCGGTTTTCTTCGAGAGTATATTGATTATTAGCACCATCTGCATAATAATCCCTCGTTTTTTTAGAGAGTTGAGACTTAGCTAGCCTTTCAATATCTTCAATACAAACAATAGAAGTGTTCGACATTTTTCTTTCTTCTTGGGCTGTAATCTGGCGCTTACTTGACTTGTCTTGAACAAAACGTTTGAGGATATCAAGCGAAGAAATATGAAACCCAATTTGTTACCAAGGTCATGTTAATGTAAAATAAACAATTTTATTCTCCAATAAAAAGGCACAAACTTTCAATATCGGCACGTGATATATTGACACGACAGTGTAGTAAGTTGAAGATCAAAATATCTAAGAAATAAACCTTTAAGTCCAAGGATAACAAAACTACTCGTACCCACACACATATACTGCTTATTTATACGCACTTGTGACCACAGTGTTACAAGTAATGTATAAAGATTAATTATTAATAATTCAAATGAACAGAAAATAAAGAATTTATTTCGGAAATGAATTATTGCTTTAATTTCCAAATCACTATTTATCATTTAATTTATCCCGAGGTGGCTCACAGCCAAAGGGTTTCGATACTCGCGGTGGGTACAACACAGATAATTTATAGTGCAACTTTGTGCTTAATAACAAACAAATCATTTACTTATTTTTATTGAACTTTAAAAAATGTCTTCATTGATTTTTAAAAACTAACCCTAAAAAATATTTATATTTCTTACATTCTGTTTGAAGAGAAAACAAAGATGTTGATAGAAACTTGTGAACTATGGTCACTGTTTATTTATGAATTATTATGCAAAACTACACAAGAGTTATCTCTAATTTTGAACTGATAGAATAGAGTAAAATTGGCTAGTCAACAAAACCTACCGCCAAGCCAACTCTTGTATGACGATTACCGAGATTTGACTGTCACTCTTATGGTGGAGTGTGCTTATACAGCAATGGGATGCGAGCCATGAATTCTTGGATTCATAGTCTACACATGCTAACCACGACCAGCCCCCCATTGTCCCTGATAACTACCATTTACTATGAGTATATATAGTATTACTTCTGAAGAAAAGGGGAAAAGGTTACAATAACGTGCTAGGTTTTTTGACATTCAACTACTAATTAAATTTAATCATGATTGTGTGGAAATATAAATGGTAAATAATGAGCCTTTCTTGTAATAAGTAAAGAATGAAATACTTCCGATTCTCTGCATTGATTATTACAAGTTAAGTGTTACTTTTATCAATATTCATCTATTTCAATATTTTTGCCTAAAGCTTCAATTTACAACCAGAAAAATTAAACTGAGACGTGAAAAATGTTTTTCTACGTTCTTTCTCTCGTTTGATTTTTATGATTTGCAGTTTAAAAAAATGAATATATAAAAACAACAACAATAAATTTTTGATTTAGTGGATTTGGCTATCTCCACACTAGCTATTAAATTCAAACCAAACGGTTTCTATTTGCTAATATACACAATTCGTTATTGTAATACAGTGGTTTTGCTGTATATAGGCAAACACAAATAGCAATTTCTTAATATAGGGGTTAAGGCCATTTAAAATATATATATACTTCTTTTATATTTTCGTACTGGTAATACAATATTTAAGGCACAATTCTTATGGCCCCACTGGTATTTTATTATTATTATTTCATGGAATAAGATCCACATGCAAAGAAAAGAGCGTTATATTTAATATGATTTGAAATTTGCAAGTCACGTGACCACAGCCGATATAAAGTCGTGGTGAAGCGGAATTTATCTAAACTACATTTGTTTGGCGGGTCTTGGTTAGTGTGATGCCATCGCAAATGAATCGCTTTTAGGAAGAGCCCATTCTAGTGCAAAATATTTCTGCACCCAAATCATAAAAATACGCTCAAATTTATGATTTAGTATTTCCAAGACTTAATGGCATTTATTTAATTTGGCGCAAAACTACTCAAGGGATATATTTACTTGCCGTCCCTAACTTAAAAGTGATAGACAAAAAAGAAGGCAGCTTGTCAAACCATTTACCACCATCTCATTAGTTACTCTTTAAGTAAAGATGCCAAAAAGGCGAGCACATTCGGAAATCAGTTTCGAACCTGTACCGGCAGATTGCAAAGTTCCACATTTTGTTGCTGTCTGAGCTTGCAATTATGGAACTTTTTATTTAGAATCTACACAATCTACTCCAAACTGAGAACGCTAAAAAAACGTTGATATTATGTAAGTAAGTTAGGTTTCAAAGAAAATTAGAATATTCTCAATTGCATAATTATTCAACCCCTT